CATATACACAATTGAATTTCGAAAACCTCTCAGAATGTGTAAATAATAACTGGGATTTTGAGATTCCCACTATAGAACTTAATTCTTCGAATTTCAAAAATGGTGACTGGAATTTTGAACCAGTGCATTTAGGAACTTGGACTTCAGATTTTATGGATACAGGAGGTTGGAAAGTTATGAACGTAGTTAATTTTCTGATAGCCGTTTTAGTTATTGTCATAATAATGAGAAATCCGTATTTACTAGGATTTGGGACGTTGCCAGTTGTAAAAGCAGCTGATTTTAGTATGATTCTTAATGACATTAGTGGTATTAGTGTTTTATTAATTATTTTTGGATTTTTGATCTGGTGTGGATTTTACTTTTTTAAAAAACATAAAGAGACTGTCAAGAAAGGAAATTTATCGATAGATGTAGAAATGAGTACTCAGACTGATGAAAATGAGTCAAAAACGTATAAGAACAAAAAAATTCAGTCAAACATTCCGGAAGAAAGGGTATAGGCCTATATTTTATTTTATAAGTATTTTGAGCTCATAGGTATAAGTTTTCATCAACTGTAGTGCATAGCAGTGTTATGCAACAAATAGCAATTTGTTTTCTTGATTCATGTTATCAAAAATTGACGATTATGTATATGTAGTATTAAGGGTATGAAAGAGATGAATGTATGATTAGTTAAGGTTAGTTAGGAAAGTTTTGTTAAAAAAAAGAAAGAGAACATGTTTCTGCTCTTCTTTATTGTTACAGATAAATGGACCCAACCGACTTCGGACGCCTGGAGGACCACTCGTCGCTGTGTCAGACAAAACATCGGGACGATGTTTTTAACGTGGGGGAGTGTCGCGGACGCCACTGCCTATGCCACTGCCACGCGAACGCCACTGCCTATGCCACACGACTTTGCCTAGAACCAGCGACGACGTCTATGCTGACTTAGCACCGGCGTACGGGGTACGGAGGGGTGCCATGATTATGTTACTTGTAAACTTATGTAAAACATGATGTTAGAAATGTACTTCACCTGTTAATTTACCATCTGACAGACAAGTCAATTAAAACTGAATCAAGAATTCTGGCATTTATCTAGACAACACCCTGTATTATTGAGCTCCCCCAAAAGTAGGCGTGACAATATAACCCCATGGTTATCTTTGAGTGTCAGTGAAGTTCATTAGCAGGTATGAATATATTTTCGGAGGTATGAAATTCACGATGATGTCCCAAGTGAAATAATATTCTTTCACACATTTCAGAGAATAATTACTCGTTAAAATATGTTCTCGGCTTTTGCTACATTGGATTCAAGAAATCTCAACATTTTTGAATCTTGGACGAACTATGGGTAAAAATATTGACATAAAAATAAAGAAATTAGAGTAATAATTACTCGTAGTTTTCAGAAATTGATATCAGGTAAGTACTTTTTTTGTACGAACGACCATTCAACATATTAGACTATCCAGAGTATACTAAACTGTAGCTACGCAGCTTTAGGTTGGTAGGTACTATAGGTAGGTATGTAGGTAGGTATGCTATACTCATATATCATGACAAGATAAAATTAGTTTTATTATCTATGCCAACTTATTGAAAACTTTTCATTTCAGATATATAGGTAATTGATAACATCGTTAACAATCATGGACCCTCATATTGAAGAAATGGAAACTTCATAGGTAACATAATAACTGACATTATATGAGCATCCCTTGGATTATTTTTGGTTAAACTTCGAATTTATTATATGATATCAGGAACGAGGTGGAAAAATCCATCAAAACTTGAGACACTCCGCCTACGTAGGTACACTGCTGATGCCCAAATAAATCGTAACGACTCTTGAGCAATATTGGCATATTTTGTTTAAATCCATGTACTATTCATCCTTCAGAACCGATGTCGATCTACCCAAGGATCCACCTCATTAGCATTTTATGACCTGATTGAATTGTTCCGGGTGCATTCAATTAGCAAGAACTTGGTATTAGTTTCAAGATTACCAATCCTTTTTGATATTTATTATGATAGAAATGGCAAAGGCTATTGTTGAAATTTTACTTAGCATTTGATGTTTCCATGTGAATGTGAGATGCTAAAATTTTTTCTCAACGTTACACAAATCAGAACAGAGTGATATTTTACTGGACTATTTCACGTTCACGAAGCATAGAAAGCAGTTATTATAAATGCATGAGTGATTCATTCTGACAAGAACAGCCATAATTATATTATGCCAAACTGACAGACTTTGCACCACTATCCATGGTTACATCCAGATTTCGATTTTGTATCCATGGTTACATCGTTGAAAACATCAACGCTGTAATACCAATCAGAATTGAGCGACATCTAATGTTTTCGCGAGAACATCACGTTGTCTCTGGCTGGTGATTGGTGTGACTAGATACCTACATCTGCAAATTGTGTGAAAAATAGTATTTATTGTTCAAGGAACACGGAATAACAGTCATTTCCCGCACGAGTTCTACTTTTTCTACGGCTATAACACAAAATTGCTCTTGTTAAATGAATACATTGTACCCAAATAACATTATCAGTTTCATTGTTAGCTACAGGAGGTTGTGACAGCCTATTTTAAAATGCCTATTTAAAACTATTATACTTTAATAATATCATTAAAACAATTAAACAACCTTCTCATAACATAAAGGGCCCACCTTTATAAATGCTGTCACAGCTTCTCTTAAAGCTTGTCATAAAACTAATAGGAATTTATTGTAGTATGCCTCAAAGCAATAATAAAACCCATCGAAACTACTTCCTCTTTTTATGCCAACATTAAAACTTATTGGCTAGAATTAACACCTTATCAGTCGCAGTAAGCATTTGTTAAGATAATATAGTCCGTAACGTGTTTTATGATAGTCTTTTTTCAGAACTATAATTATAATACAAACATGTCAAAATGGAGAGAGAACAATAGATAGTTATGAAAGAGATTAAACATGGCGGTATGATATGATAATTCCCTACTGTATCAAATAGTCCTTTTTGTGAAGATTGAGGCTGTAAAATGAAAACGATGACGACTTTTTTGACGAAAACATACCAGATATGCTTCAAAAAAGGCAGCGCCCTAGAAATAAAGTGTTTCCACCAGTTATAATTGGATGTGAATTTCAATAACTTTTCAAAAAAGTTGACAAAACTTTGTGAATGTTTGCTGAATATGGGTGAGTCGTTTGAAAAATGTGGAAAAACAACATTTTCGACGGCAGTATCAATGCATCTTTTCTATTTTCCGCTTGAAATTTTCATTTCCATCAATGGCCGACATCTGTTTGTAGTAAATATGGCGCAAAATATACTTAAAGCCAATTTTCTTTCTCTAATGCTTGATTAAAACCTTTAGGTAATGATAAGGCATTTTATGTGACGATTTCCTCCTGTTGAAGTACTTATTGCATATTCGAATCCATTCTTATGACTATTTGCTCCTGGGTATGACAACAAAGCTTCGAAAATGATAAGATTGATTCAAGAAGGTTATAAGATAATGCCTTCATAAAACTATAAAGCTTTAAGAATATCCTGGCTAGTGCTCATTGGCAGTGTTGCAAAGTGTAGAAGAACGTCATCAACATGATTAACATAACCCTACTCTTGCTGTTTACAGTGTTCACTTTGTGAATTTTGTGATTGGTTTAAAGTAGGAAACCGAGTAGGAAACATAGACAAACTACACTCAGTGCAATTCGCCTGATATTGTGTTGATTGCTCCATTCTCTCAAATGCATTCTCTACTCGTCATCTGACATAATTTGTGCAAAACTGTTGCCAACTTCCTCGCTTCCTAGTTCCCATTCAGAGGCACGATCGTCAGAAGTATTTTCCATGACGTTCTGACTCGTTGTTGGTACTTCATGAGCATCAGGTCCTTATGAATTCTTGCTATTTGGTGGATTCAGGTGGTATGAATTGAAAGACGCATTGTTTGAAATTGCTTGGGCTTGCGTACTGTTGCTCTCACGACTCGATTTTTGATTCTTAAGTAATTCTCTCAATTTTTTCGCTTGAAGTTGCCATTTCTCTTAATTTCACACTATTGTGAGTCCATTTCAACGTGAGTCGTTTGAAGGCCAAAAAAATACTTAAATACATTTATATTATGGGATTTGGGTTTAACACGGTTCTGAATAAAACTTCATAAATCCTACAGATTTTATGATTGACTTCGATGAATTCATAGTGGCTTATAGGTTTTAATAATTACTTCCACATAGTTAGAATAATGTCAATAGGTTTCATCATTGCCTCAGTCAAATCCTAATTGGCCTAGTGTAAATTTGGTTTTATGATTGCTTCATGACGTATTTTCATAGGATTAGTTCAGAACCTCTTGGTCAAATTCGAGACACTAATAAAACTTAATTTCAATGACTCTCACAGAGCTATCTTAAAACCGAATTGAGCTGAATGCCAAATTGATTATTCTAGAACACGTGATTTTGACATGGTTTCTTGAGGGGCACACAAACTATCTGTTAGGTTACCTTTGATGAGCATAGCCCTGGCCATCCCGGCCACATCCACAATATGATAACAGTTTCACCAAACAAAATTATGAAATTCTTTCTGGTTGCAACTCGGATTCCAAGAGAAACGATCCCACTTATTCTGGTTTCATATGACAAATCTTGACAAAATACTATGTTTGCCCCTCAGCAACCTGTCAAATGACGTAATTCTGGAATGATCAATTGTTTTATGCGAGAGTTCTATCATAGTATCTCGAAGCCTTTTGATAGGATTATATGGACATGAAGGCCAATATGCTTTTTCCAGGGCATTCATAGAACGGTAGAACAAATTAGACCTATCATTTGCGCTCACATAACCTCTTTAAAGTCTCATCGAAGCTATTAGGCATTTGAAATGTTACTTGGGTATATACTATGAGTGATCGGTTAATAATCTACGAGGAGAATATTCCAGCTGGAAAATGATGGAATGCATTTTTGAATTTGTATACTCACTTTTGAAATTTGTTTCACTTGGGAAGCGAGATACCATGTTCTCTATTTGTATTTTGTAATTTTTGATTCCCGCTGCTAACAGGTCCTTCTCACAGTCTCTCAGCGGGTCGCTGCTATGGAAATAAGGTGAAATATAATTGCTGTGATCATATTTGGCCCATTTTGGATCCTTTCCGAGTTCTGTGAAGGCATAATCAATAGGAACCTTAGCAAAATACATCAGGAAAAGCTCTCCATCTGGTTTCAACATTTTATACATATTCTCGAAAGATTTCCTGAAATTTGAAGACTCAAATCTATATACAAGGTGAGTCATTGAATTGGGGAAGTGAGGTAACGGCTTCGCTGTTTGAGATAAATGTACAAAAATTCTTGAACTAGTCTAGGCTCACGAGCAGCACATTTCTAGAATATTTTGCGTAATACAGGAAGACTCAAAAATGCGTGACGTATCAAAGTTATACTTTTTCCTATAGGACACCCTGTATTTCATTGCATTCTCTGATTTTTCCCTGTGAGCTGGTTCCATCAAAGCATCACAATTGGGTCTAGCAGGAATAATATCAGAGAAATAAGGTGTTCAAAATAGAAATTTTTCAACTTTAGGATTTTTCGTGTCGAAACTATTAGTGATTGGTCAAAACGGCTAAATTTTCGATTCACTATCTACCGATATTCAATTTGAACGAATACAGGGTGGTTCATAATTCTGAATTTTAAACCACCCTGTATTCGTCCAAATTGAATATCAGTAGATACTTAGTTGATCAAAAGTTGGACATGTGAGCCGTTCTGATTAGTAATTAATATTTTCGACACAAAAAAATCCTAAAGTTGAAAAATCTCGATTTTGAACAGCCTATATCTCTGTAATCATTCCCGCTAGATCCCGAGTGTGATGCATTGATGGAATCAGCTTACAAAGGAGAATCCGAAAATGCAATAAAATACAGGGTGTCATATAATGAAAATAATAACTTTGATACGCCACGCATATATTTGAGTCACTCTATCTACCCAAATTATTTTTGAAATGTGCCCCTCATGAGCCTAGACCATCACAAAAATATTTATTAATCTATCTCAAACAGCGAAGTTGTTATCTCACTTTCCCATTTCAATGACTCACCCTGTATATTAAAGAACGTCCAAAATTTGTTACATTATTTACATCTCAAGAACTGCTAAGCAGATTTGGCTGACTTTTTATCCCGGTACTATTAGGAAATTCAAGAAGACGGATCCAATTTGGCGTATTTTGTGATTATGATCCGATTATATTCAAAAACATCATCTGAAATCTTAGGAGTCGGAGATCATGATGCTTTCGTCAAAATGGGAAAAGTCTAGTGAACTAATATGGCGTAGGAAATGAATGGTAGTTTGAAGAACTGAAGAAACACGCTTTTATAGATAGCCAAGCTAAAAAGAAGTAGAAAATAACATGTTAAAAATAATATAGTGTGTGATGAATATCAACTAAAAAGATATTTTCTAGGCATTATGTTTATACCAAAACAACGTTTGCGGGGTCAGCTAGTATCTAATAAAATCATTCTGGGAACTTATGTAGAAAAATATGTAAACGAGGTGTACTGCTATTTGAATCATCGAACAAATATGCCCCGATATAAAGTTCTTTCATTTCAAAACTTACTGTTGAGGTTCAACATTTTATTGTTCATTCGACGTATAGCCATTTGGCTATACGTCGAATGAATGGTGACGCCAGTTTTATATGCTGTTTCGTTATTTGTCAAATAATCTTCTATTCTCACTTATGAAGCAAGGTTGTCATTATACTTCTTATACTCCATAACAAAATATCATGTAAATTTTGAGGACTTGGCAACAATGTGCTGAATGCTGAGAACTGACAAGGCACCGCACACAATTCGTGCGCCGTGTTGCCACGTTTGCGGGTTCAAATGTTCAAATAAGCAATAAGTCACAGCACATGAGGAAAAATTTGTAGACAATTGATTTTTTATTGATAATTAGGAATATTACCAATACATAATTGAGAATTTATAGATCATTGCCTAACTGAAACTTCTGAAGTTCCCAATCCTATTTCAACATATGGCAACTATGCTATGGTCTGCCCCTACTCACGAAATCGTGACGTCAGATTTCACTCGCGGGAAATTTCTAGCCGTTTGAAAATTACCGTGGCATTACTGATGAATTTAGCACTTTAAAATCGACCAAAAAATTGAAAAAAATATATATGAAATTGAAAGGTTTTTGAGTGATGATTCTATTAAAAAAAATAAAAAAAAATTAGTCCACTCCCTCATTATACCTAGATGATAGTATTTTAATAAAACCCTATAACTGTATAGTATTTGATTATTTTCTATATAGTTATTTGACGATTTGGCTAATGTCGAAGGAGAACGCACTATTGACTCACCCGGTATATATTCTAATGAGAAAATATGTAGTTTGTTTAATATTTGAGCAGTTGAAGTAGAAAGGAAAGATTATACTCCATTAAGTTTCGAGTAGGTTATAGGTAGGGTATCAGAAAATACAAATAATTTTCCAATATATACCTGTTTCTACTTCAACATGATATACGGCCCGATTCTCTAAGAAGAGTTCAATAGGGTGGCTAAATTAGTAACGTTGTTATTAAGAACTTTTTTAACCCCCCTGATTTTCCACTATTGATATTTGGTATTCTATAAAAACAACATTTATCACTCAGTGGTATAAATAAAGTTGCGAAGTTAGTTAATCATATTATATTCTTGCCTTTTTAACGTCAATTTAACCTAACCAGTGATAAACTGCTACATTAGAATCAGACCCCCTGATAGGATCCTCTTGCAAGTAAATGTAAAGCAGCAAGTATCTGAAATACTATAGGCATTGATTATAAATATTCTCTGAGTAGGTGTACTCTCTATACTGATATATCACAAAAACTCAACTGAGATTTATTTTTACATGTAGTAGAATGAAAGTAGCCCACCAACGTCTATCATCTGTGGTTCTATAAATGGTATCAAAACCTCTAGAACCAATACTTTCGGCATCTGATAGAATTTCCGAAATTTAAGGATGGATTTGTTGAATCCCTCAAAATTCTATTGTTTTCAGAATTGTTCATTTTTTGTTTCCACAAATAATGGGCTTATATCACAAAAAAAAATTATTTCATTATTCGATAGAACTCACCCAAATTAGCTCACCACCGCAAACCGTTTCTTGCTGTGAGCTTCCTACGTTTTATAAAAAATTATTGAATTCCCCGATTTTTCGGACCTCTGAAAATGTGGCGATGATTTAACGTCAAAACCCTAATACTGAAACAAGACTATTCCAGGCAGAGATGAATGATACATGATTTCTGACAGAGTGAATTAGCGCAAGATCACAGTTGAAAGAACTAATATATCAGTTGCCTCAGTCTCCGTCGGGCGTTTGGTATTTTCTTTTAACTATGGCGAGATGAGGTTTCTACGTCATGAGAGGGTCCGTTTTCAGAAGGTACTATTATTTATGTCCAAAAATAAAACATTCCAGTTAATTTCTCGATCGAATTATGTCGTCAATCATTATTTATGTATAAAAGGATCATTATAAACATGGTTTGAGTAAAAATTCCTACTAAGGTGTACACGCCCATTAGGTAGGGATTTGATACCATCTTGTCGTATAATTACCTCTTTTGCAATATCTAGCATCAACAGATGAACAACATTTCCTTGAAATGGTGCCACATTTTTTTTTAAGACTTTAGCCACTCCACAAATCACCAGAAGAAGCTGGTGGATATCTGCCACTATATAAAACATGACAAGTTGTTAGATGGTTCTAATAACCACTGACCTTCATATTAACCACCCGAATGACAGTGGTTATAAGATATCCACGCTGTTAGTGAATCGGACCGATTGTCTAGAAATACAAAATGCATATAGATATACAAACCTCGGGTTTTTCACCCAGTGAAGAGTTAAGAAAGATAATATATGATCGAACTTTCCGATCAAATCATTTGGTACAATATCAGTTGCGATATCCATTTCCACGAATCTGAACCTCGTGTCCTCCATCAGGATACGCTGGGCCAAACTCAGAAAATTCTTGTTGATGTCAACACCGACATATTGCCTGAAGTTTGATTTGATCCGTGGTAGAATTGTTTGTTTTGTGACTTCTCCGCTTCCGATTCCAATGTCCATGATCATCTCATTTTCTTTCCATGATAACCAGCTCTCATATTTGTTCATTATGGATTCTGAGATGTCGTGTGCTATGTCACTATTTTCCGCATATAACTCTGGATTGTTCATTTTCAGCTATATTTGGATTCGATATACTTTCGTAGCAATACCGTTGTACCTAATCAACAGATTTTCCTTCCGTCATGATATATATTTATGCTAGAATATAACTATATAAGACGTCCTCGTCTGACCATAGGCGTGCAATAGCTAAATGTCAGTTCAAACTGGCAATTATGGCTAATTGTCAGTTCAAACTGGCAATTATAGCTGAATGCCAGTTCAAACTGGCAATTATGGCTAATTTCCAGTTCAACCTGGCAATTATAGCTAAATGCCAGTTCAAACTGGCAATTATGGCTAATTGCCAGATCATACTGGCAATTATGGCTAATTGCCAGATCATACTGGCAATTATGGCTAATTGCCAGATCATACTGGCAATTAAGGCTAATTGCCAGATCATACTGGCAATTATGGCTAATTGCCAGATCAAACTGGCAATCATGGCTAAATGCCAGTTCAAACTGGCAATTATTGCTAATTGCCAGTTCAAAAAGTATCATGTCCGTTCAGCGCTTTCGTACTATGGTGACATGAGCTACTTTCAAAATAACAAAGTGGTGTTGGTGTGTTTTATGCTGTTTTTATAGGTGGTCGTAGGAAAAATCAACGTCATCCTATTCTGCATACCTATAACGGGCTATCGCATCGGGAATGATTGTTCACCAAATGTTGACAGTAAAGTTGTCATAGGTTCTCGAAAACACAAAGCATTGATGGCTGAGCCAGTTTTACACAACTGGAACTAGGATACCGAAATCCTCTCTTTTTAATACTTGTACGCTTTTTTATTGAATACGACTGTACGTCTATGTTGAAGCAATGAAGCATTTTTAAGTATTGAAATATGATAATTCAGTATTATAATCATCCATTAATTATATAGACCAAACCAAGATCATGTGAGCGTGCGGGAATATTATTGCCACACTGTTCGTTGTCCCTTTCGCATTTCAATGGTGATATCAGATACTTTCTGAGCAACAATTAACACAGTTTGCTAAATGCTACTTTCATAGGTGGTCGTAGGAAAAATAATATATTATCTTCGATCATGTACGTCTATGCTGAAGCAATGAATCAGTCTTTCTTACTAATTAGGGGTCACGTTTAGAATAAAATAAAATTTTATGAGATTTCATAATCACGATATTGATTATACAGGGTGTTCCTTAATGATATGCTTATATTCAATATTCTTCGACCCATTTCAAGAATAAAACTTCATATGAACGTAAGTCGTAAACGTCCTAACTTTTGAGATACAGGGTGTCAATGTTGAAAATATGCATAGATTTTTTTGTCCACCCTGTATAGCTTTTTGTGATGGAAAAATTCAGTTTGCTGCGTGACTGAATCGGTATACAAATTTCAAAATGTTACACACTGTAGTTATCCAGTAATGGATGTCCTGAATGGAGTATACTCAGACAAAAAAATTTGAAGTCTGGTCCCGTTTTTCCGTTTCTTCTCGAAAACGAAGCGTTCTATCGAGTATCAACAGGAGGATCTTTCTTGTACATAATTAAATAGCCTTTTGTGACCTTTTATGAAAAGTGAGAATTTATTGTCGTTGCTCACTTTCAAGTAGAATATAAACAATAATATCCCCGTAACGGTGCCACTGGTAGAGAAAATGAAAATTTGTGTGCATCAGAAAATGCATCATGATGCATAAAAGACGTGTCCCAAATTTCATGAAGATGAATGCAATATTGTCTCAGCTATTCTCAAAAAACTGAATATTTTTCAAAACTTCATCACCCTGTATCTCAAAAGTTAAGACTTCTGGGACATACGTTCATTTGAAGTTTTCTTCTTGAAATGAGTCAAAGAATAACCCCCTCCAATATTAGCATGTCTTTAAGGAACACCGTGTATAGTGTGCCGTCACGGATCAATGAATGAAATTGCTTCATAGAACCATCATAACATAATTATAACTGAGTACACCAATAATATTATCATCTGGGATTTCGAACAACATGAAATAATGACATTGCCTTAGCTTACATGACGATTTCTTAGGATGATTTTCATCTTTGAAATACTTACAAAAAGTGAATCAAGAGTTGATCAATGCGTTGTGCACGTTATAAATAGTGGACGGATCATGCACAGAGGGGTAGAATAATAAGGCTGAGTTGGAAAGCACGACAAGTAAAATTAACACTTATTAGCACAGTATTGAAAAGGAATATTCTCAGATATATTATAAACATGAAAAAATGGATACATTTGAATAAATACATTGAGAATTCGCATTCTCTATGTGATGAAATTATTAATTATTTCTCGGCATATTCAACAGAAAACAACTACTTTCCTGGCTATATGCCACGACGAACATTGAATTATATCAATTGAACATACACGATAGGAATTTGAGCATAAAATGAATATCGTCTGAAATTGAGAATTGACATTCTCTTCCAGAATCGGATGGATACTATGATGAATATAACGATATAAAAAATATATTACTTACCAAATTGGTATGAAAATTGGAATGTATGGGAGAAATATACTAGAATTTCTTTCCACGCCCTGTATGATAAATGTCAGTTTGTCATACATCTAAAACACTTATTAGCACAAGTTGCATACAATATTTTTTCTACGTATCATGCAGAAACCAAAACGTATTCTAGTAATGTGACTAAGTTGAGAAAAATAAAAGAGTATTTAAATAGTAAATTAATGAATAATAAATTTGCACTATCAATTTGCATTGGGAAAGTTAGGAACTAAATATATTAGGAACTATTCAACTCGAACATTATTTTTACAATTGATGTTTTTTTTTCATCGCTTGGAGCGCACGAAAGGGAATCCCTATAATGTTCAAAGAACATCGTGCGTTCCTAGGGAGGATAGGGACAGGAGGTAGGTATTGGTATTGTTTTTTGCATGAACGTAAAAATATCAATTATTGATTCCGCAGTTTAATCAGCCTCTATCAGAATATGCAGTTGAATGGTTGAATGGTTCAAATTTCACGTTTGTGATGTGATCGTTTTCAGAAAATTGTATAGATTGCAAAAATATAAGTGTGTTTCATTATTTGGAAATTGAAACGTCCTACACTTCCGGCGAAATCGGGGAAAATAAATATCATCAATTGGGATGACATATAATACAGCACCCATTTTATAATTATTCATTATCCTACGAAAGTGCGGAAAAGTATTATTTTCTACACAAAAGTGCTCTCGTGTTACTGTGTTCCATACATCAATGAAGTACTTTGTATGTAATCAATTTTATTTCCGTGTATGTATCTGATATCACAATGACTCCATTGTGATATTATTTCAAAAAAAACTCATCGCCCATGGAAAGCATTGACAAATTTTCCTAATAGATGAGCAATACTCAAGAGAAAATCAGATGGCTACAATCCGAAGGAATAAAAACTTTCGCTGTTATCTATTACAGCCGTATAAAGGCCGTATATAGAAAACATATGGTGTATAACTCAAACGGAATGCTATAATTTTCCACTCGTATGATTTTTTTTATGTTCTGGTTTCCACGAAAAGGGATATCCTGTAATGTTCAGAGAACATCGTGAGAAACAAGGGAAATGAGGTAGTAATTGGTGTTCTTCTCAAATTTCTGGAGGTTATATGTCTCGGGGAACACCCCCCTTGGCAATGTGTTCCAGAGCCTCGCTGTTCGTTGGATCAACGAGTCTTTGGAAAGAGATGTTCTGCAGGTCTCCGAAGTGACCGCGAAGGGGTGCGAAGCCTCAACTCGACGGGTTAAACTCGCGGGCACTGCCAAGAGAGGAACAATTGTTGATATTTCAGAAGAGCATCGTCCATGAAAATATCTATGAAATAGAGCCAGTTCGCCAACTTTTCAACGGTGTTCCAGAGAAGTGAGTGAGTTTGTGAGCGAGGCATCACCCACGAGACGAATTGCCCTTTTATGGTCAGAATCCAACAGTTTCAGGGTATGTTTGGGTGCTGCACTCCAAATATGGGAACAGTATTCCAGGACAGGTCGGATCTGTTCCTTATAGATCATAAGCAGCTGACTGGAAGTGAAATAGCTCCTGGCCCGAAACAGAAAACTAAGTTTTTGGGATGCACTTCTAGCAAATGATCTGACGTGATTCTCCCAAGAAAGGTTATTGCTGATAATAATGTACCAAGCATCGAAATGGATGTCTTCAAAGGTATGGTTAGTCTTGAGATGCTTATGTTTGGCACAGTGAGATCGGCTTTTCTAGAGAAAAGGCATGCTTGTTTTTTATTTGCATAGAAATCTAAATATAGTGTTCAGTTAGTTAGTTATGCTTTATACACTTACAGGGTCTTATTCATTTTGGATTGGCGGCTTGAGAGAAAGAGTGCCTAGCAATATAATATTGTTTCCAATAAGGCTTTATTCACCAGTCAGAGTTGACCTGAATAGGAGTTGAGATATGGACAATCGATTTCTACACTACTACGGAAAACCTATACATGATATTTCTCTTTTTTTATAGAAACAAGAATACAAAGTGGACTGAAGAAGACATGAATCAACGATATATTTGTATATATGCAATTGACAATAAAACGATATATGAATAAAAATACAGTCGTATTAAAAAAAAGCGTACAAGTATATTGGAGGGAGAAATTAGCGTCATCCCATTTGCGTAAAACGGGCTATCGGGAATGAATGTTTACCAAATGTTGACAGTAGAGTAATCATAGGTTCTCAAAAACACAAAGCATTGGCTGAGCCAATTTCACACAACGAGAACTAGAATGCCGAAATCTTCTATGTTCAATACTTGTACGCTTTTTTATTGAATACGACTGTACCTACCTATTTATTTTTCATTATTTGATCTCCAAAGCTGAGCATTCATTATACGTCCACATAGAAACATCCACTGTAGGTCCAGAGTAGTGTCCTCATGATATCCAATATGAACGTCCATTAGACGTTCAACGTCCAATTTGGTAAGTCGAATGGATGCTCAGATATCGACATTCATTGTGAATACA